ATCAAGTCGAACGTAGTTCAGGGAACTTTGTTTTTGTTTTGTTTTGTTTTTTTACAAACGTTTTCAGGTTCCAAAGAGGATAATGAAAGAAAGGTAACCGGCTCAAAGGGTTAGCAAAGGATTGGAGTGTTTGGGGTAGCGAGAATGAAAGCCTTCGCCATCCCAATAGGGTAATGTTGTTGCTGCAGAAAGACTATACATAATACCTTTTGACTGCGTCTGCATTTACAGCTGTTTCGGGGTCATTTCCTTCGATGTCTCCCAGGTATAACGCCCCTTTTGGCAACAATTTTCTGATAATGTATGAGCCCTTCCAGTTAGGAGAGAACTTTCCTTTTGCTTCCTAGTGGTGAGGGAGAATACGCCTCAAAACGAGTTGCCCCACTTCAAAGTTCCTAGGCCGCACTTTCTTGTTGTAGGGCCGGGCCATTCTTTGTTGATACAAATGCCCGTGGCAGACTGCGGCCATTCGTTTTTCATCGATTAGGGTTAACTGTTCTATACGGGTTTTGACCCATTCACTGTCCTCAATTTCAGCTTCAACAGTGATTCGGAGGGAAGGGATTTCAAATTCTGCGAGTATTACGTCTTCAGTGACATAAACCAAAAGATAGGGTGTTGCTCCAATCGATGTGCGCACAGTTGTGCGATATCCCATCAATGCAAATGGCAACTTCTCATACCATTTATAGAATTCTGGATCATCTTTCTAAGAATCTTCTTGATGTTCTTGTTTGCTGCTTCAACGGCACCATTAGCTTTGGGCCGATAAGGGGTAGAGTTCCGATGCGTGATCTTAAATTGTTCGCATATCTCCCTCATCAAATGACTATTCAAGTTTGCAGCATTGTCCGTAATGATAGTTGTAGGGATACCAAAACGGTAAATGATGTTTGAGTGTACGAAGTCTACCACAACTTTCTTTGTGACAACTTTGAGAGTGATTGCTTCAACCCATTTTGTGAAGTAGTCGATAGCAACTAGTATGAATCTGTGCCCATTTGAAGCTTTTGGACCGATCGGCCCAATGACATCCATACCCCAGGCAACAAATGGCCATGGTGCTGACATAGGATGCAGTTCTGCAGGCGGTGCATGAATCAGGTCACCGTGTACCTGACACTGATGACATTTCTGGACAAAACTGAAGCAATCTTTTTCCATAGTCATCCAGTAATGGCCTGCCCAGAGGATTTTCTTTGCCAAGACGTACCCATTTATGTGGTCCACACACTCCTGCGTGCACTTCATACATGATTCTTCTGGCCTCTTCGGCGTCAACACATCTTAACAAGTTGAGATTGGAGTCCTTTTGTACAAGACCTCACCGCTCAAGAAGAAACCGCTTGCAAGCCGTCTAATGGTTCTCTTTTGGTCTCCACTGGCTTGCTCGGCATATTCTTTAGTTTTCAAAAATCTCTTGATATCATGATACCATGGCTGAACATTTGGTTCCACCCCAACCGTATTGCAGTAACCATGCCTTTCTCGGATTTGAATTTCCAACGGGTCAATGTGGAGATAGCCTGGATACGGCAACATCGAGGCCAAAGTAGTGAGTGCATCGTCTAACTCATTGTGAAAATGAGGAACGTACCTGAACTCGACTGACTTGAACCGCTTGATAAGATCTTTCACATGTTGTCTGTAGGGAATAAGCTTGACATCCTGAGTTTCCCATTCTCCCTGAGCCTGTCGGATAATTAGATCCGAATCTCCCATAGTTACCAACTCTTTCACATCTTGATCAATTGCCATATTCATGCCCATAATGCACGCTTCATACTCGGCAGTGTTGTTTGTGCAGAAAAACCGAAGCCGGGCTGTGGCTGGATAGTGCTGACCAGTGGGCGAGATCAGAATTGCCCCAATCCGAACACCTTTTGCATTTACCGCTCCATCGAAGAACATTTTCCAAGCATTGGCGTCTTCTGAAATTACCTCAACTGAATTTACTTCCTCGTCCGGAAAGTAAGTACTCAAAGGCTGATACTCATCATCAACAGGGTTTTCAGCTAAGTGATCCACTAGAGCTTGAGCTTTCATTGCCGTGCGAGTGACATAGACTATGTCGAACTCACTGAGCAGGATTTTCCATTTTGCCTACCTCCCTGTGGGCATCCGCTTCTGGAATATGTACTTTAAAGGGTCCAACCTGGTGATGAGGTAAGTGGTGTAGGCCAACAGGTAATGCCTAAGCTTCTGGGCGACCCAAGTTAGGGCGCAGCAAGTCCTTTCCAGCAGGGTATATTTGGCTTCTTAACTTGTGAACTTCTTGCTCAAATAGTAGATTGCCTGCTCTTTCTTCCCGGTCACATCATGTTGCCTGAGGACACAACCGAAGGAATTCTCCAAGACTGTCAGGTACAAAAACAAAGGCCTCCCAGGTTCGGGTGGGACCAAGACTGGCGGATTCGACATATATTCTTTGATTTTGTCGAAGGCTTCTTGACACTAATCTGTCCATTTAATCGCTGCATCTTTCTTCAACAGCTTGAATATGGGCTCACATGTGGAAGTCAACTGAGCAATGAATCGGCTGATGTAATTCAACCTTCCCATCAAACTCATGACCTCTTTCTTGGTTCTCGGAGGAGGCAAATCCCGAATAGACTTTATCTTTGTTGGATATAGCTCAATGCCCCTCCGACTGACTATGAATCCCGAAAGTTTCCTAGACGGAACTCCAAATGCACATTTAGCTGGGTTTAGCTTCAAATCATACTTGTGCAGACGCTCAAAGAATTTTCTCAAGTCCCGAACATGGTCATCCTGTGTTCTAGATTTAATGATCACATCATCCACATACACCTGGATTTCCTGGTGCATGTGATGAAAGATGGTAGTCATAGCTCTCATGTACGTTGCCCCGGTGTTCTTTAGACCAAAAGGCATGACCCTGTAACAATAGGTGCCCCAGGGTGTGGTGTAGGCTGTCTTTTCCGCATCTTCTTCATCCATCAAGACCTGATGATATCCAGCATAACAATCCACAAAATACTGTATCTCATGTTTGGCACAATTGTCAACGAGGATGTGGATGTTTGGCAGGGGAAAGTTGTCCTTAGGACTTGCTTTGTTTAGATCCCGATAGTCAACACACACTCGGGTTTTCCCGTCTTTCTTTGGCACTGGGACTACATTAGCCAACCATGTGGTATATCGGACCACTCTGATCACACCCGCTTTCAACTGCTTGGTGACCTCTTCTTTGATCTTGTCACTAGTGTCAGTTTTGAACTTTCTTTGTTTCTGCTAGACAGGGGGACAATCGGGGTAAGTTGGCAATTTGTGCACCACTAGATCAACACTTAATCCTGGCATATCATCGTAGGACCAAGCAAACACATCTTTGAATTCAAACAAAAGTTGGATCAATGCATCCCTAGTTCTTTCATCTGTGTGAATGCTTATCATGGTTTCTTGGACCTCTTCTGAACTACCCAAATTTACTGGCTCAGTTTCATTTAGATTTGGCTTAGGCTTATTCTCAAATTATTCCAATTCTTTGTTTTATTTCCTCAAACTTATCTTCTTTGCATTCTGAGTCTTGATTCATTATTTCGAGGTCTGACAGCGTTTTGGGATCTGGGCATGAAGTCCGCAAGCATGTCATGTTATTTAAAGCCGCATTATTAGAACTGAAAGAAGAAATAAGAAAAAGTAACGAAAATCAGAAAGAACGAAGAGAGAGATGAACGATGAAATATTGATTTCATTTCATTGAATTTTGAAGATAAACAGGGTTTACATTGGAATTTAAAGACAGTAAACTAAAGAAAACATCCGAGTTACACCCTGGAATAACTCGTGATGTAGAAAAGGTGGCAAGACTGGACTTCCGGGATTCCCGCCTGACTGGGAACGGAGTAGCCTTCCAGTTTTGCAACTTGGAATTGGGCCCCATATACAGCACCTCAGCGGTGCTCGAGCCTTCTCCCGGCTGGACCATGTGGGTTTCATACAACATCTGCCTCATAGCTCCACATATTTCTTCAATCTCCTCGTCCGTGAAGGCCTCATCTTCCTCTTCTGTGTACTTGGGCTTGACGAATGTTTCGAACAGATGCGGGATTGGCTGAGGCAATACCCAACCATTGTTCTTCCGCTCATTTGCCCATGTTTCATCAGCTGGCGTGGCCTGAAAACCCACACTAAAGAACTTCTCGCTAGCAGCCAGAGTGATAGGTTCTGTGATACCTTGCAATGATGTCCCGAGCCCCTTCCCGGGCTTATATCCATGCCTAATCATTTCCTTGGCAACCATAATTGACGCATTTGAGAGAAAGGGTTGAGGACACGGGCTTCCTTCTTCACATTGGTCGGCAACTACAACCTCGAAAGCTTGATAGACTATATGTTCGCTACCTTCCCTTGCTTCAAGAGATGGGACTGACGGGTCCCGATAAATTGATTGCTCGTCCTCTCCGTGGACCACGATCTCCTGATCTTCATATTCAAATTTCACCATCTGGTGGAGAGTGGAAGGTACGGCCCCCGCCGCGTGAATCCAAGGCCTTCCCAAAAGGAAATTATAAGAAGTGTCCATGTCTAGGACCTGAAATGTCCCTCGAAATCCAAAGAACTAATGGTCAAAATCAAATCGATCTCGCATATGGTGTCTCTCTTGATGCCATTAAAGTTACGCACGCAGACATTATTAGGCCTGATTCTCTCAGTTCCAATCTCCATTCTTTGCAAAGTTGAAAGAGGGCAGATATCAACTCCGGATCCGCCATCCAGCATGAATCTTTCACATAGTACCCCTCACATTTAACTGTCAGATGAAGGGCTTTGTTGTGGGTGGCCCCTTCCGGGGGCAAATCATTCTTGCTAAATGAGATCTGGTTGATTGCGAAGAATCTTTCCGCCATCCTTTCCAGTTGTTCAACAGTGGTTTCAATCGGAACATAAGCTTTATTGAGGGTTTTTATCAACACTTTCTGATGTTCGGTTGAGCTCACCAGTAGGGACAAGAGTGAGACCTGTGAAGGAGACTTTCAGAGTTGGTCTATAACCTCGTAGTCCGCAGTTTTCATTTTACGGAAGAATTCTTCGGCCTCCTCGGCACTAACAGGCTTCTTGGGTGGGAAGCGCTTCTTCTTGGCCTTGTTCAAATCCTCCAAATTAAGGTACTTCTCAGCTGGGTTAGTTTCATTTGCTTCCTCTAGGACCTCTTTTCCCTTGTATGTCACTACCGCTCTGTTGTAATTCCATGGGACGTCAGTGGGGTCTGTCATGGGCCTCTGCGGTGCGCAGCCAATAACCACGGGCTCATTCAGCCATGGTGAAATTATTGGCCCCCGCACCACATATGTCCCTTTAGGCACGTACATTTTAGGTCCCCTGTTTAGCTCGAACCTTTTTGGAGGGCTCAATGTTGTTTGTTCTTTCGTGTGACCCCGGGGAACATGAAGAATGGCATCTTTTGGGGGTACTGCCCCAGTTTTGGTTTCTACTTCCTTTTCTGCACTTTGAGGGGTGGGCTCATTCTTCTTCTTCCCCTTATCTTGCTTTGCAGCAGCCTTTGGTTTCTTTTTGACATCAGCTCAAGGCGGGATCAAACTCCTTATCTTCGCAAATCATCCCAATAACAGGTCCATTGTTGTGGGCCGGTAATGGGTTGTTGGTCACATTAGGAATTTCTTCATCCTTCAGCACTATCCGTTTTTGCTCTATGAGATTCTCAACCGCCCTTTTTAGGGTCCAACAGTCTTCAGTGTCATGCCCTTCCGCTCCCGAATGATAGGCACATCGAGCACCGGGTTGATAAGAGGGCGACTCTGGGTTTTTCCTGGTTTGGGGTACGGGTTGCAACAAACCCATTTGGACAAGTTTAGGGAAAAGGCTAGAGTATGACTCACCAATAGCCGTGAAATTTGTTCTCCTGGGTGGCTCCCGAGCACGGGCATTGTAAGGGAAATTATTTTGTGGAGGTCGGGGATTATACTGAGCTTGGTGGGGAGGGTTATTTCTAGGAGGTGGAGCTCTATTTTGGTTAAACTGTTGTTGTGGCCGAGCGTATGGCTGGGCATTCATCACTGCGTACGGTTGGGGGGCCATAGCATAAGCCACATCCTGGTGGGGATAATAATGTTATGGGGGGCTTGGAGAGAAGTAATTTCTGGGTGGACGGGGTTCCTCGGACCTGAAGCCGCCATTGCCGCTTCTTCCTTTTTCTTTCTGTTTGCTACACCTCCGGACCCGCTTTGAATTGCTTGGGACGTAGCTCTTATGGTAGATTGACTCAATATGCGCCCTATTTTTAGACCGTTCTCTACCATCTCACCAATCTTGATGGCCTCAGCAAATAGTTTCCCCATTGCCGACATCATATTCTGAAAGTAGTCAGCCTCTTGGGCTTGTAGAAAAACACTCACCATTTCTTTTTCATCCATCGGGGGCTTGACCCTGGCCGCTTGTTCGCGCCATTTAACAGCGTATTCCCGGAAACTTTTCGATGACTTCTTCTTGAGATTAGATAGAGAATTCCTGTCGGGAGCTATGTCTATGTTATACTGAAACTGCCTGACGAAATCCCGAGCTAGATTATCCCAAATGTGCCAACGGGATATATCCTCATCCATGTACCACTCGGATGCAATTCCCACTAGACTCTCTCCAAAATAAGCCATGAGAAGCTCCTCTTTTCCACTAGCTCCTCTCAGTTGATTGCAGTACCTCTTGAGGTGAGCTATGGGATCCCCGTGCCCGTCATACTTTTCGAACTTTGGGGTCTTGAAACCCACGGGCAAATGACATGTGGGAACATACATAGATCAGCGTAGGATACGCTCTTTTGTCCACTCAAGACTTGTATATTCTTAAGGCTATGTTCCATGCTCCTCATCTTCCGAGTGATTTCTTCCTGCTCGGGTTCTTTGTAGTTTTCTCCTGTCCCACGGTAAACTCATACCAGGGCTGTTGGGGTAGGAATTGGTAGTGAACTGGGCCGTTTCTGGTGGAAAGGATGGTACTTGAAAAGTGAAAGATGATGGATCAAAGTTTGGCCTTGGCAAAGTGGGTTGTGTCATGGCCGAGGAAGGTGGCGCAGTGAATATGTTGGAGGCCACACCTAAAATCAACACCTGGGGGCGAACCTCAGAAGGTGTTCCGGCAAAATGGGCTGAGATGGTAGGATATCCAAGTGGAGTGTTTGGGTAGTTTATTGGGACATTAGAAGTTCCACTTGCCCTGGGAAGTAGCTCAGGGAAACCTGGTATCGTACTCGGTGGCTCCCTACCATTGGACCAGGCGTCCCACATTTCCAACATGCAGAGACGCAGAACCCTATTTTCCTCAGCAGCAGCTGACTCTGGAGTTGGGATGGCAAAGATCGGGCTATCCTCTAGAATAGGAACTGTTGGGAGATGATTCTCAGACGACATTTCAACACTTCCTTTTGATCTTGTGAAGTAGGGATGTGAAGCCAGATTACCACAAAACCAACCACCTTAATATAGAACCTTGAATAGCAAACACAACGAACCGGTTAGTGCGAGACAATTAACATATAGGGAATCGCACATTGGGGTGTGATGCACCTATACCGTTAAATATTTTTCTATATGCTTTGCAACAGTTGCGTGTTTCATCCCGACTTTCATTTATCTCTCCAACTTTCTTTCTTTTGGCGCTTTTCAACTTTGCTCTCTTTTGCACTTTGTCATCATTTTTCCCCCTTACTCTTGTTTTCTCTTTTTTCTTGTTTTTCTCTCTTTTTCTTTTTATTCGAATTATTTAAAAACATGACCGGATCCGATTAGGATGGCCTACGTATCACGACGCCGCGTGAATCAGATCATCACGTAGTTCAAGAAATAAATGCAAAAATAAAGAAACAATTTTTAGGGTTTTCCAAATTTTCATTAATAAAACTTCTACTTTTTCTGCTGCAAAAGACTCCATCCTACTTTTCTAGGAATTTAAAAACTAAAAACAGACTCTAAACATACTTTAAAACTAGAAACTGAAATACAGACTCAAAATGAAAATCAAGAGTACATAAGTGCTTCTAAAGTTGATCCAGGGGACCGCGGGACATCAGTCGGTCTCGCCACGGGTCTATGTGCAAGGTCTCCTTGAAGACGATCCAAGTCATTCATGATTTGTCGAACAAAGGTCATCACTGCGGAGAAGAAGGTGGTTTGAGTCATGTCTTCACATTCATGGCACTTTGTGACGATGTAGTCAGCAATTGCTCTAACCCTTTCCCTGATGACGCCCTTTTCTTGGAGCAAACGCCCGATTTGTTGAGACCTAGCTTCTAACACTTGGGCATCATGATGGTTCTGACCCTGCAGCTGTTGCATATCTTCCTCTAGCTGGGACATTAATGCATAACAGTGTTCCCTTTCCGCTTTAAAGTTCCTAGCTTGTTTGGCCATCTCATTTTTTAGGGAAGTTAGCCTTTTCTTCAAGTTTGTGACTGTTCCCTCATATTTCCTTTTCAATTGTCGTACAAACCCTGCCTCGTCCCTCTACGGTCTTTGTCAACTGTGCCTGGGCTCTTGCCAGATTACCCTCAGATTTTTCCAAGTATTCCTTGTACTCAGATATCTTCCTTCTAAGACCAGTTATGAGTCTTTCATCCGCCCGACTCCTCTCCTGATTTTCAGCAGCTATCTTCATTTTTTGGATCTGGGCTCGAAGGGCTTTGTTTTCCTGAGCCAATTTCTTCTTTTCCCCTTCATCAGCAACAACTTGTACACTGTTGTCAAATTTAAGATCGCGGATCTGCCCCTCCAATTTGCCTATTGTGGCTCTGTAGTTTGTCTCTTTTTCCAACCAATCCCATTGCTCCCGTGACTCATCAGTGAATTGCTGGACATGGGGTCTTTTAGCAGGCCTTTCGGGCTCTTGATGGACTTGAAACCTTTTACCAAACCAAGTCATGTAACTAGGCTCTAGCTCGCCTTTGGATACATCCTTTACCCGAGTCTTTGTCTCTAGAAACCTACACTGATTCCAAATCTGACAGACTTTTGCTTCTAGGAACACAGCTTTTGGACCCAAGTCGATGACTTGTCGACTATGATCTTCATCATGTGGGATAGTTTAAAACCTTCCTAGCTGGCGTAGCACCCTGTGTGGAGCGTATGGCTGGATGCTCCGGAGGTCCATTAAGAGAAGATAGCACACCTCGGCTGACATATAAATGACTTCAGTGACTGGGAGCCAACCGAATGTCCATTCAATTTTGTTTGAAGTTAAAGAACTCAAATGCGCAAACCAAGCCTCTGTACCTTCTGGAAATTCACAGCCCACCACTCGGTTTTCATATTCTTCAATGCAGTTCAGACCAGTCATGCCGTGGGTCATGTACCCCAAGCGGTGACATAGATGTTCTTGTATCCAAAGTTACAGGAGCATGTTACAGCCCTCGAAGAATTTTCCCCCTTCTCGGCAGTTAAAGCTCGATAAATCTCCGCTAAGATCATTGGAACAAGGGTGCCATTAGCTTTTTTAGTCATGACGTCGGCCATTCCTACAAGACCCAATTCTATGTTTCCATCTTTTTTTGGGCAAATTAAAACACCCAAGAATGCCACTATAAAAGCGAGTCCCCGCCGTGCTTCCCATTTATCTTTGTTTCCTGAATGAGTTAGGCCGGTATTTGGTGCCTCAAAACCGTGGGGATCGCCATAACGCTGGTACAAGAAGTAGAATGTGCAAAATCCTTCGGATAGATTTCTATCTTGAACCTCCTAACTGATGCTCAGCAGGTCCAAAAACTTTTGAGGAGTCACTGTTCTTGTCGCCACTGGGTACCGACTTCTGAGATTCCCACTAAGACCGGCATAGCCCGCTATTTCCTCCAGCGTGGGGGTTAACTCAAAATCAGAAAAGCGGAACACATTATGAGTTGGGTCCCAAAAGGGTATCAAAGCCTCGATTACATCCAACCTCGGTTTGATTTTCAGAAGACCAACAAGACCGCCCAAAACTTTTACCACAGTATTTCTGCTGACTTTTCCTAAGTCATTCCACCACATATGGAGCTGTAATGGGATTTCCTCAAGAACTGTGAAGGGTTCATTTTCAATTGTGCTCAGCCTGCACATTTATTTAGAGTGGTTGGTTAAAAAAACCATTATTTATTTTGAATCAAAAGAAAATTATCAGTTTTCTAAAAAATTTCATTTCAAAACAAAACCGCCTTTGCAAATACGGCCCTTCAGCACCTCAGGAAAGAAGATTTTAGGGCTGTGTTCGCAAATCGGCCAAAATTTTTAAAAAGAACCATAGGTGGCTATTCTTGCAAAAGCAGCCTTTCGGCGCCCTTTTTGGGGACATTTTGGCTATTTAGACAAGAACGACATTTCCTAACTTATTCATGACAAAATAACAACATTTTTTTTTCTTGGGTTATTTTTGCAAAAATGGAGTTGGACCCGGTGAGGGTTGCCTACGTATCCCACATCCGGTGAGAATCAAACTTGCATAGTTCGGGCAATTTGACATAATGAAAACAGAACCAAATTCTTTTCTTCTTTCTAAAAATTCGGCGTACTTTTAGACACCGAGTTTTCAAAGGCGGGTAATTATCTCTCTCATACCTCAACTGTGATTTTTCCAAACTTCCTCCATTATTTTAGAAGCCAGTCAACATGCAATCCGGAGCAAATAAATGCACAAGTAGCAAGTAGAATGCATCAGGATGGTCTTTTTGATTTCAGGTACACCTGTCCTAGACGGACCAACCCCTGTGTTGAGTGCCCAAAGTCAAATGCATGTGATGCAAACAAGCGTTCCTACTAGGGATCCGGCATGAGGCTATGTTATACTAGGTTTAAAAACCTGGGTGTATTATTCTAGACTTGGCTTACCCGAGCGTACAGCTCGAGCCGGGGGGGGGGGGGTAGGCGG